AAGAAAAAAAGAGGTAATGGATATTAAATGGTCATGAGGAAGATTGTTAAGATATGAGAGGCTCTTTGTTTACAGTACTAGGGTGGTCAAGCACTAAAACGGATACCCAGAGACTTGTGAAATATTCATTTGTGGAGATGCACAAAAATTCATTTGCCTCTGAGCAACCGGAGTCAACTTTAAGTTTGACCCAAATGCCAGTATGGCCCTACTTTGAGTGAAAAAGTGGACCAGTGACTTCCAGAGATCCCTTTCAACCTAAATTGTTCTGTGGGCCCTCATTAAACTGGCATCTGAAAATATAAGAAGGTTGAAGTGCTTGATACAAATTGGTTTTTAACATAAATCATTGCCTAGACTATGGAGAGCCATTCAAATTCCTAAAAATTTCAGTTATGCCCTCTGGTCTTAGTTGAAGTGTAATGTCTCTTCACCATGGTTTACTGTGGTTTAAATTTCTGAAGATTTTCACAAGCCTGAATAATCCAAAAGTTATTTGAAGTTAGTTCAGGACTTGAAAAGCATCTGGGAAGGTGTGAGAAGACATTGATGCTGGAGAAGTCTGCTGAATGCTCGGCAAGGTGCCTGCTAAAATTAGGAGTGGGAATGCCTGTGCCGCAGTAGGAACTGGGAGCAGCTTGAGCGCTCCTCATTTGGTTTCCCCTCTCTGCTTCAATTGACCGTGTGTGGCTCGGAGTGTCCAGAGTTACGGGGGGTTCTCTCAACAAACACGCTTGTTCTGTCAGGCCAGGCTTGTGTTGTTGTGTAACTAAGCAGTTAATTTAGTGTTGAAGTGGTATGCTAAGGTAAAATTCTTATTATGAAGTTGCCATAATTCCTATCATGAGTGAACATTCATTGCTGCTTGTTCACAATATAGGAACTATGATGTCTCACTTCTAAGTATAGACGTATTTCATGGCACAGTAAAATTTTCCTTTTCAATGACTGATTCCAATAAGTACATTTGACAAGCATGGTTCTAGTAAATAATGCAGTCTTTGGTATTAATTATCTACTTTTTTATAGTGCCATTTTGAATGGACTCTTCAAAATTAGCTCATCTTCTGTAAAGTCCATATAGGTGAAAGTACTCAGTGTCAAGTTAAGCAGAAAGAAAATAATCGGTCTTGCATTCCACAGTCCTCCTTCAATTTGTTTTTTTTCACTTGGAGAGAGGAAGAATAAAAGCAAAGGGCATTTGTTATCTAGCAAAACTCAGTAGCTATTTCACATGAAAACATAATAAGTGTGACAGGCTACAAATAGAATTGAACATGAATCTTGTACAGAAGAAAGGAGAAATGTCCTTTGGTATATTTACTTCAATCAACCCTAATAAGGCTTGTTTTATGTGTTTTATGCATCCGCCATCATAATTATAAATCCTTGACATTTTAGCACTAGCATTTATATCTGCCAGGGAAGCTACCCAAAGTCAACCCTCAAGGAACGTAGGTATTGTACTATGGATCTCCATAACAGCTCTCAAGTAGTTACTAAGTGGCTTAAAAAATTACATCTCAGTCATGCTTGAAGGGCTCATCAAACTTTGCCACAAATATCAACGTTAAGTACCCAATCAGCTGCATTGTTTGAAGTACAGTCACATGTGCCCACAGAGGAATAGGTTGGACAGGAAGAAGAATTATAGAAGGGCTTATCAATCAGGTAATGGTTTGTTTTTTTTCATGACCTTTCAAAAAGTCCTTTTCCTTCTTTCTGAAATAGCTGAGTCTTGAGCTGGGCCTGGCATCTGCTAGGCATGCTGCTTCTCTTCCTGTTTAATATTTTTGTATTCGTGGTAACTTTTCAGAGCAGGGGCTACCGGTGTTTGTGTGTGTAGCAGGATTCTGTTCTTGGCCGCTTTTGGACACTACCAAAAAAAAAATCTGAATAACAAGGATAGGAAAAGTGTCAGGTGGTCTTTGGGAAGACACTTTGGTGTATGTCGTTTTGGCATGTAGGTAAACAAGATAAGCTAATCACCGTAGCTTTCATGTAATATATCTGTAATTTGTTTTTGTCTGTAGGTGTGAAGGAAGGCTTGCCATATGGTGTGTATATTGGTATTTTTCCTTGACAGCCTTTATTTTAAGTTTAAGGAATTCCAAGGCATACTATTATGCAAGAATACAATTTCAAACACTCATCACTATATACCAGAAGAATACCTTGAAAGAATATTGAAGAAAGGTTGTAGAGCTCCAGGAAAGTTTTAAATTGAAAAATTAAATAACGCTTTCATCCATTTTGAGGTACCCTAATTACCTTAGTTCTGTGTTGCACTGTTACCAGGCTTTCATCTTTTAACCATTTGAACTGGATTCTTTCATAAGTAATATATAAAATCTGATTTTACATTAATTGGTTTGTGGAGTTCTGAAGGAACTTTCACAGTGTCTTTGTGAATACATTTTTTCTTTTTTTGGTTCAACATATGGTACACTTTACTCTGTCTTCTTGCCTTGATGTAAAGTCTTCTTGTCCCCTTGTGGGCATAAGTTAAAAGTATAACTCACTGAAATTCTGATTTTTAAAATTATTTTAAAATACTATTTTGAACGTTGCTGTGTTCTGGTATCAGTGCAGCCCATACGGAGATACTCTGCATCTTTGTATCTCTTTGTTATGTATGTGTAGGCGTAAATTCAAGATTAGTCCAGAGATCCCAAACTGAGGGACCAGAGAACAAGGTAATGTGGTCCTGTGGTGAGCATCAGTTTCTCCTGTAGCTGAAGCCATTGCTTCTCCTTATGCCATTAAGCTCAATGAAATAGTCACCGTGCTTTTCATCCACTCCTCCTGACAGCTCTTTGTTAAAATTCAGGTGCTTTCTGTGAAAAGTCTTTTACTAATGAACCCAAAAAAAGGGAGAATTTTTTAGCCACATTAATTTATGAGCAACTGAGAACCACTCTCACAAGAGCACTGGCCATCAGAAAAAAAGATAAGGTGAAAAAAAGTCTTTTTTCCTAAATGGGCATTTGAAATCATAGATGGAGAGTACCTGAACAGGAAACAAACATGTCTGGAATAAATCCACAATTTTATTGCCTTCAGTTCTCCCTAAGTAAGAGAAGAATCTAGATAAAGTGAATGTGGAAAAAAAAAAATTAAGAGGAAATATTTCCATCCAACTTGAACGAAAAATTTAATAGAAGTTGAGCATTTAATTGCTTTTTGTGGATTTGAGTATATAATTTCAGCTGTTGAAAATTGTATCTTTTCAATCATGTACCAGTGCTAGCCTGAGAACTTCTCTGTGATTTTATCCTGACAGTAATTGAAAGCTGATTAATTTAATTGCAAACAAGCTTGTATTTTGCCATTTCTTCCTTAGTACTTCATGTAAATGCCTGGTGTTTGGGGTCAGAAGGGAAGTAGTGGTGTCTATTTTCTAATTCAGTACAGAAAAGCTAGTAAAATATACAGGTTTTAACCTTATTAACAATAATCTTGTTGTCAAAAGTGTAGTTTGAAGAGAAATAATTATGAAACCTTTTATTTAAAATGGTGTATAGGGCAGTGTAAAGTCAGCTGTAGTGAAACAAAACTGTTGCAGTATTAGTTTAGAAGGACTTCTTTTGCTGCCTCTTTTGTGTGGTGTCTCTCCACTCCCTGGAGGTGTGTGCCCTGTGCTGGATCTTAATCCAATGAGTGTGCTGGGGCATGGGGTCACGTAATTTGTACATAATCTTGTTTTACTTTTCTGCAAGCTTTGCAATTGAAATGTCAGTAAAGTATTGGAAGAACTGTGCCATAGGGCAGCATCCAAAGTTAAAATTTGGCTGTATCACCATGCCTTGTAATAAGGTACCACCAAAAATGCTAATAAAATGGAAGTGTTTGTCATTGCTGCGTTGTGTTGCGACTGTGTCAGTATTGGCAGAGAGAATTTAGTAATCAGAAATGATGGATTAGTACTAAATTTTGATAATTTATTGATTTTCTGTGTAACTGGTAGGATGTTAATAGATATTATTAATAACAGTAATAATGGTTGTAAAACTATTTCACCTATATAGAAATACCTTTCACAATAAATATTCATGCTCTTTAAATAACCTTTGAAAAAGAGATGCCTGACTACAGTAAGTGTACAAAATTGTACAAATTGATCAATTTACAAATGTCTGCAGTAATATTTCAATGTGTTAAGAAAACCCTAATCAGCCGATCTACTGAATTCTCAGTATTTGTAAATATTAAACTGGTAAAGAATAAACTAGTGTTGGAAGCTGTGGTGGTGTTTTATTGATATGTTTGTGGGGATTTCTTAATGCATCCTGAAATTCTTTTCAATCAGAAGATTTTGGCAGTCTGTTCCAATTAAAGAATTTTCCATACTGGAAATGAGAAGTCAATTATGAGAATTATTTTTGAGTAGTTAATTTACATAACCTTAATTGTATTAATTCCCTTTGAAAGGCTGAAACAGATATTTATAATACTTTGATTGATTAGCAGTGTATTTGTGTTAGAATTGCTACTGATAACTGTTAGAATAGCTGCTGCAACTGTGGTCCTGAGGAGTTCTCTCCCAAATAAACATTCTAGAAAAAGGCTTTTTATTTCACTAGGGAGGAAAGGCATCATATCTTTGCTACCTACACAGGCAGTAGTGTAGCATCTCCTTTCCACACTCTGTAAAAAAATGGGAGTTTAGATCATGTTACTTAATTACTAGTGTGTTCCATACTGTAAAGAATGATAGATTTTCCTTGTTTTGTTTTTTTTTTTTAATCTGTCAAAAGAGTGCCTGGGTGTAGACTAAGGATCTGTGGGTTTCTCTCAGAAGTCACTCACAGAATGTCAGCAGTAAGAGGGCTCCTGTTTTCAGGCAGGTGTTGTGCTGATGTGGTCTGGCTCAGGTGGAATCTTCCTCCAGCTGTTTGCCAGGCTGCATTGCAGGTGTTGGCTTGCAATTGTGCCCTGTCTGCTTGGGCTCAGAGTGTGGAAATAGAGTGCTGGTGTGGGTACAATTGGGAAGGGGCGTCATGTTGTCATCTCTTCTCCTGCCTCTGCTGCAGGAGTTGGGAGGAGAGGAGCCAGCATGTCTCCATGTGCTGAACCTTCTTGTGGACGGGGACCTGGCAGGGACGCAAGGGGCAGAGCTGACAGAAGCATGGAATCACTTGTTTGTAATCCTTCCACAGAAGGAGAAGATCTGGGGGCTTTATCTGAACTGGAGCACTGTGATTTCTGCCCCTCAACCTGCCAGAGCCCAGCTCATTTCTGAGCAGGTGTCGAGGAAGGAACTTGTAACCTCAGCTCTTGGGCAGTATCACCTAGTGCTAGGGCAGGTGCTTTAGGGACCCTCGGTAACATGAGGATATTGTCATTGCAATCAAAACTTTATTGTAGCCTGGACCCTCCGCAGGTGGGGTGGGCACCAGTGATGCCCCTGGCCTCTTGCAGGGCAGGGCCTCTGAATGCAGGACTCCCTCAGCCCTCAGGGGCAGCACCCGCTGACCTGTGTCCCTGCACAGGGGAAAGGAGCTGTGGGGACGTGGTCACCCACCCTGGGTCAGTGACAGGTGCCCGTGGTGAGGAGCAGCAGCCTTGCTGGGAATGCTGGGGAAAGGCTGTGCTGGCCCTGATTCAGTCAGCCTCTTGGGGCAGGTGGGTGGGTAAGGTGCCTGCCCTATCTCAGTGTTGGGAGTCTGGGACCTGACTTGCCTGTTAAAATAATTGTATGTTATCCTTTCTGCACAAGATTCATTGGAACTTCAGAGGACCAGAGGAAAGATGTGGTGCTTAGAAACTGCAGTATGTACATGGCTGCTGCCCTGGTCTCTGCCTGTGACCATTGGAAAAAAACTTGCAGAAAACACATAGAAGTAGAGTAATTACAGCATCAGTTTGTCCTGGTTTGCCCTTATACTACTACATGTTTTGGAGGTTTCTGAGACTGAAGTAGTGCTTGTACGTATGTATTTAACTGTTCTTCTTGGTGTTTTCCATGACTTTGTCTAATTTCTTTTTAACCAAATCCTGCTTTTCATCTCCGCAACATCCCAGAGGAGTAAGCGTAGAATATTCCAAAGTAATATAGCATTTAATATGATTTCTGTGGTGTGAAACCAAGTTTTGTTTGGTTGAGGAATTTGGTTGTTCCCATCAAATTACAACTGAGTTCCATGTATTCCATTCTACACTGTGGATGCTCAAATGAACTTTGTATCCTGCTATTACCTAAAGTGCTTTCAGTGCCCCAGTCCTACACAATCACCGATTTCCTCTTCATTAGTAACAGCCTCTTTTGCAGAAATTAAATTTCCACAGTTAAAGAGAGTGAGAAAGCAAACATTTTGGTGTACAATGCTGGTGGAACTTACTAAATCAGGATGAGCTGCCAGAATAGCAGGAACATGAATAGTCATTTTAGTAACAAATGAAAGATACAATAAGATGGGGGTTTTGATTTGTTTCTTCTTGGTACTGGGGAAAATTGCTGTGATCTGTTTGTATCTGGATCTCAGTCAGCCTTTTTGGCTATATGTAATTTTGGGACATAACGAATGCAGTGTGAACACTTGGGTACTTTACTATGCAGGAATAAACTACAAAGAGAGTTGTCCTTGTTACTGGAGTAAATCTTTTCTAGAGGATTTGGATAAGTAAAAAGCAAATTATGTATTGTAAAAACTTAGTTGTATGGCCATGGAAGGGAAGCAGGCTCCACATGGAAAAAGAGAGCAAGTTTTCTACCTAATTATTTAAAGGATTTTATGTGTCTCTGAAATGTGCCTTGGTAAATATGAGCTGACACATTTCTAGCAACCAAATTATAAATGAGTGGAAGACCTGAAAATGTCAGCTTCTTCCTTTTAGAAGCACTTTAGGATTTTTCTTTCCTTTTCCTTCATACATTCATTTCTTCCCTTGGGCAAATGAGTTTGTTTAAATGTTTGTTTCAGTATACTGTTTTTCATAGGATATAATTGTTGACAGTTCTTGGAAGTGTCAGAGGAGATTTGATGTACTAATATTTTTATAAGAGAGAGCATATGCAGACCTTAAAATAACAGAGAGAGAGAAAAAGTAGTAAATCAATCCTTTAAACTTGTTTCTGTGTATGTCTTGATGTTGCCTAACCAGTTGTGTGTGTTGTGGTATTTTTCATGATTAGCTGGGAAAACAGTAGGATAATCTGAAGGAGTTTGGAAAAGTAAAATAAATGAGCACCTTAGGCAAAGTGTTTGCCATTTAAATGGCACAAGAGCTATGTCATGTCAGGTGGTAGGGTAGGGAAAACACTTGAACTGCTGCTCTTACCTCCTCTGCTTTTGGAGGGGACTCCGGAGTGCTAAGCATCCCAGAGCTGAGAACATCATGTCCTCTATTTTGTTTTAATCATATTTTGGTTAGTTTTCCCAGAGGTGTGACATGCTTAACCGCTTTCCTGGAGCTTTAATACAATTTACACCCAGCCACGTGTGAGTCACTTCTTGATGAGGCTGCATAACCATAAAGTCTAATCACTTTATATTAATAGAGACCAAAAGGATGATCTTTTTGAAAGGCCAGGTTAACAGAGGCAAAAAAAAAAAAAAAAAAAAAATCTGTTTTTTTTAAAATCATTTTCTTGGCCACATTGGTGTGACCTTGGACAGCAGACTTTGGAGCCTTCCCATGTGCCTGAAGTAGTGTAAAAGCCAGTGACTGAGTGACAATTTTCAGAAACATATACCTGGTCCAGGCTTGCAGGGCAGGATGGGAGGAAGGGTTGTGGTGGGTAGAGAAGAGCTGGGTGCATGTATGCTGTGCTAGACCAAGAAACGTTCATCCTTACAGAAACACAGGTTGGACAGCTAGGGAAGCCTCATGCTCTGTCATTGTGCTGGATGGATCTTGTCCTTGGAATGTAGTTATTATGTTCTTACAAATAAAATGTGCATCTGCTCGCTCAGTGCAGCTTCTGCGGTTGTGTTACCTTTGTACAGCATGTCAGTCAGTAGCTCTACATTTTAAAAAACTTAATAACACCCTCTACCCCCCAAGAATTAAATGCTGTTCTGTGTTTTTAAACATGCTCATCTGTAAGTGTTTTGAAATAAAGTAAAATGCTCACTAATGGTAGCATGCTAACTCTGGGAAATGTGTGTCAGCACAGGGCAGTGCTGAAGCATATACTTAAGTCATATTGAAGTCAATGCATCTAAACACAAATGTCTGTGCTTTCTGGAATCAGTGTGTTTGTTGTTTGCTGTTCTGAAATAAGATCATTATTATTTTTGTACTTTAAAGGAAGTATAAGTTTTTGGGTTTTTTTTACAGAGTGAAATTTGGAAATACTTTAAATATGCAAACTGCATTATCTTTTATTTTGATAGCTGATTGCCGTTTATGACGAACAAGAAGCTCCCCGTAAGACTGATGGCACCAATGGGAATTTGAAAGACAGAAATAGCCCAGACTCCTTTGAGACAGAGGTAGCGACTCAACTGGCTGCATTTCAGCCCATTGGTGAGATTGAAGTGACTCCTTCTGCCCTAAAACTGGGTATGTATATCTTGTATGGTTTTTTCTTTCATTTTGCTTTTTCTGTGTATGTCTGGAATCCGATTTTATATATTTAAAGATTTTATTTTTTTTTTTCATCCCAATGTTTTCCTTGGAGCTCAATGAGGGGCCTTGAGGGGAAGCCATATGGGGAGTGCCTGAGGTCACTTGGTCTGTTCACCCTGGAAAAGGGGAGGCTGAAGGAGACCTCACTGTGGTTAGAGCTTTCTTGAGAGGGGACATGGAGGGCCAGGCACCGATCTCTCTGTTGATCAGTGACAGGACCCAAAGGAATAACATGAAGCTGAGTCAGGGGAGGTTTAAATTGGATATTAGAAAAAGGTTCTTCACCCAGAGGGTGGTTGGGAGCTTGAACAGGTTCCCCAGCACTAAGCCTGACAGAGTTCAAGAGGCATTTGAACAACTTTCTTTGGCACATAGTGTGACTCCTGGGGATGTCCTATGCTGGTCCAGGAGTTGCTGACAATCCATCATGGTATTTTGAGAGCACACAAGATGAAACCTTTGCTAAGTATTTTCAAATACCACAGTCATTGAAAAAAAGTCAACTTTTTCTTTGAGGAACCTGGGTTCAATGAGTGTGAAACTGCTGTGTGCAAGTACTTTTACCAGTTACTAGAGCTAGAGCCCTGTTTTGGGTGTGGGAGGTGCGAAGAGGGATATGCTGGTTGCAAACAGTTCAGCTCTTTGCCTTTGAAGAAGTTGCACAACTGGGCCCATTTGCCTTTCTGACTTTCAAGTGAGCAGACTGTGATTAGGAAAGGCTGCTGCTTAATTCCCTCTTGCATCAGAGGCACTGCATTAACTGCTGCAACTCTGGTGTCCCGTGTTGAGTGTGCCTGGATGGCCAGGAGTTCAGACTGGTTTCCCATTATAAGCAGCTGGAGTCTTGTATGTTGCACCCAAAGAGGTTTGAAAAACTTTCTTGGATTGAGAGTAGGCCAAGCTGTCACCTAAATACTGGATCAGAAGCTTTCAAAACCAGATTGAAGGTGGGTGCTGTGACTGCCTGTAAAGCAAATGAATAATGCTCAGGGGGAGCCTGCTCTGCATCTCGCCAGTTCCCGTGGTCCCAGCTCACCCCACGTTCCTGAGTGCTGCTGGCAGTCTCCAAATGCTGGGCAATAACATCTGAGTATAAGCAGCTGGGGGAAGAGTAGGGGTACTATCTCTGGTTGTGCTACTCTCATGGAGTAGTCTGATTATAACTTGAGAAATGGAATGTCCACTTGTCTTTTTTAATTACATTTTTAAAGGAAAAGGCTAATTAATAAAAGCAGTGAGCTGAAATAAAATTTCAACTGAAGTTCTCTGGATAAAGCTGTGTAACTTAACTTCTAATCGAAGTCTGTGCTCATTTTTGTGCCTGCTGTAGAAAATTCTAAAATTCAAGCTGCACAAGAATTTTTAGAGTAAAATCTGTGTTAATGGATTGTATCTTTTTTTTTCTATATTCTGAAATAGAAAAATCTTTTCCAATATTTAATGACATACAGGAATTTCTCATAACTAAAAATCTTGAGACAAGACTTATTATTGACATAACTTGTATGTATCTGAGTTTTTTGGTAAGTGTGAGGTACGGAATAGCTTGTAGCTCAAGGTTTGGTGGTTAAAAGTTATGCCACTCCATTTATTGCATATTTTTAAATTGCACTATTACCACATCTTAGCATGTTTCAGAAAGTAGAGATTGTTCTCCAAATACCTCTGAGCACTATTTAAAAAAAAAAAGTGTTTTGTCTCACATACTGTTGTTATGTAAGTTGAGGATTGAAGAGAGGAGTACTTCAGCTTCACACAATTTTATGTAAATCAGTTAAGTGCTCAAGCTCTTGAGCTCATCAGTAAGCTACCACATAGTTAATTTCCTAGTATTTATGAAATCCTACTGTAGAGCATAAAGAAGATGAAATATAATGTGCAGAGAGCAGTTAGGGTTCTGTTTTGTTTTCATTGCAATGCTAACATATATTTGAAGTTTAAATGGTGCTTCTTAAAATAAGTGATCATAAATGTAGTGGGTTTGTCGTATCAGCTCTGCTTCATATTGATTTATTTTACAGGGTGAAAGATTTTCTACCTGTTAGTTATGTAACTTAGTTTTTACTCTGATGTGTTTATTCTCTTCTGGATTTTACATCATGGTTTACAATTCTTTTGACTTAATTTTTGCCTTTGTCTTTTGTGTACAAGTTCCTGGTCCTTAAATTATGTGGCTGTTTCCATTAGAGGCAAATTGAAAAAGTAAATGAAGAAATAGAAGGACAATTTGGTTGCATCAATATCATTGATGCATGAACCACAGTAGTCTGGCTTCCTGTCTGATTATTGAATTGACTCCCACTTGCTAGCAGAAATAAATAATATTAATTTATAAAGCCATTCTTATTTTGGGAGCAAGGATGTGATTGAATATATATGTAGGAAAAGAGTGTTGCTATCCATGGTAGAGCTGTCCTTCAGGAACTGTCATGTAGTTACCTTTCCAAGTATTTTTCCAGAACACTTTTAGGAGGGAAATGCAGAGAATTCATTGTTATATGTATTGTCAGATTGTGGAACAATTTTGCCTGTTAATTTCTGTTGAATGTTTTATATTTTACAAAATCAGATCCATGGTTTTATGTAGAAACAATGTCTGGCTAATGATCTGCTTGTGAAATACTTATAGCTTAGTGCTTAATAAGCATGTGAAACTAAACACTGCTCTTGTCAGATGTGAGAGAGTTGCCACTGGCTTAGAACAGACACATGAGATACTGCCCTAAAACATTTCTTTTATAAATTGTATATGTGACCTAGTTAGGTTAACTGTATATTATACCAAATCTTAAAAGCCCTTCCTGTTTAGAAGAGATGGCAATAATTTTATGTTTTGGTATTTTTATTGTATGGCTACTTCTTTGAGGGTATTTTTTTGTTTGTTATTCCAGAATACTGATCAGCTTGACTGACTGAAATCATAGATTTTTCCATGATGCCATTGGTTACCCTTTATTTTTCCCTTTATCATCTATAACTCTGAAAGTGAGCCAGAATAAAAACAATCTTATATTTTACTGAAAAACTTAAATAACCTTATATTTTACATTGCTTTCATATATTGGCAGAATTTTAAAGCAAAAAAGTAAGTTTAATTTACTTGATATCAAATTACTTTCTTAGTATATATCTACTTTAAACATTTGAGAAATTTATTCAACTATTTGTTTTCTTTTCCCTGGAATAAATCCTACTCTACTTTTAAAGCTAGATCTGTTCCCAAAGAGGTGCAATTGTGGGTACTTATATTTAATTTAAGAAAATTGCAGGAAGACTTCAAGTGTTCATGGACACGGTATCTTCTCTGTCCATAACATGAGGTGAGGTGCAGAAAGATTTAGGTGCCTCCCTCCCTGCCCCACATCACTGGATTATCAGGTTCTGATGCTGACAGTGTCTTTTAATAGTGAAAAAGCAAAAATCCCAATTTGACAGAATCTGTTCTTGGGAAAGAAAACATTTCATACTAGAATACAAATGGTATAAAGCACCTGCTAAGATAGATGACAAAATTCAGAGAAGCACACATCTGTTTAATGTGTACAGGCAGCTGTTTGAAACAGGGAAGAAGTTGTTATACTGATTTTGTTATTTCTGTGGATATGAGAGCATTGAGACAGTTGCTAAGATGGCAGCACAGCTTGTCTTGTATTACTGTTTCTTGTGAGCAGAATTTGGGCAGAGTACAATAATGATGTGGCCATGACAACAGTTTTCAAAGAATGATACAGGCAACTAAATGCTGAAATAGCTGATGTACATTTGAAAAATGTCTTTCAGGTAAACTTCAACATCTCTTACCCCAAATACCATTGCAAATTCTTCACCGCCTTTTTTTTTTTTTTTTTACAATATTTCTTAATTATAAGCTGTGTATAGACAAAACCCTGCAATGAGCAGTGAAATCACAGTGTGTTGAATATTTTGTAGCTGCATGACTTCAGCCCATGGTGAGTGTAAGGTAACACACATCCCAGGGAAAGAGATTATGGCCCTCATAAACCATCCTGTAATTTTCTGTGCACCTGTAAGCCTGCCAATAGTGCTCCTGTTTTCCTTTTGCACCTCATCGTTTACTGTTGTTTTCTAGTGGTTTTCCCCACATGGTAGGTCGTAGAACAGGAAGGGGGGAGTTATTTTCATTATGTCAATTTGTTTTTTCCTTTTCATTCCATATGGGCAGGAAGGAGAGAGCACTAATTTATTTATGGAGGATTCCTTTTATGGACAAGTCACTCTGAGCTGGAAATGCCTTCATGGCTGGCTCAGTGTTTTGTTTGCTTCATTTGGTAAATGATGGTCGAGTACACACAAATTTAGTTATTGCTTTTGTTTTGCTTATTTCCTTGGTGTTAAGTAGTCAGGATTTTGCCTGGAGGAAGGCAGGCAGAATTCAAAGATAATTGTTGATTTTGAATACTAAGGTATGGAAAAAGTAAGGTGTAAAGTAGGCATCTCCATGATTTTTTATTATTATTATTATTATTATTATTATTATTATTATTATTATTATTATTATTTTTATTTTTATTTTATTTTGGGGGGGTTGGTTTTTTTTTATTCTTTTTTCCTTTATTTTGGAACTGATTTGAAGAGTCCTGAAGCTGTTTTCTGAGTACAGCCTGGAAGCAGAGACCATTAGATTACTTTGTTGGCTATTACAATAAAATTATGCTCTTAATCAATTGATACCTTTACTAGTGTAAACTAGTAACTTCATTTAAAGTTGAGATTAGATAAAGAAATAATTCCTTGTAACAGTTAGTGATAGCAGGTTTAAAAATTCTCTTGTAAACTACAGGAGTTAATGACTCCCTTTGCAAGCTTTCATTGTTGAATAGAGCAGTGTCTTGGTTTTCCCATTGAAAGATCCTACTTCAGTATTTCAAATTTTGCATGGCTTTGTTTTATAGAAAATCTCTGAGGTTTTCTCC